CTGATGGCCGAGTGGTGTGATGTGCCCAGTGTGGGTACTCCGGGCAATCCAAGCCAGGACTGCTTTGCAAGCGGGGCACCCCTGAGAACTGTCTGTCCGGGGTGGGGGTCGGGACCCTTTAAGCACAGCCCTCGGCTAGCCTGAGAAAGCATCTCCACGCTCTAAGTTCTTCTCTGATGCCCTGCCGGCACTGCTTCCGGCCATCCTTAAGCCCTGTTCAGGGTCCACTCAATGTGGACTTGCTAGTTCAAATTAGCAAAACGCTAATTCGAACTAGTTTTTTAGTCTGGATCCGTTAATTCGAATTAGCTTAGTTCGAATTAACGTTGTAGTGTAGACATACCGTTGGTTATTGTGTCATCAGGAGGTTATATAGGGCAGCCCCCCAATTGTCCCCTCTCCCCCTATTGTGTCATCAGGAGGTTATATAGTTGAACTCGTGGGGCAGTTCAAATTTTCCATTTAGGGACGGCCAGTGGTCTTTCACATAAAGATTTTTGCTTTATGAATGTAGCAGAAAGACTTGTGTCTCATTCTGCGTTCAGAGTATCTAAATATATTGTCCTTAAAAGCAACCAAGGAGTCCTGTGGTACCTCAAAGCCTAACAGATGTATTTGGGCATAAGCTTTCATGGGTAAAAACCTTTGTCAGATGCAAGGCTCACTAGCTGATTACCAGTCTACTTAGCAACTCAGTACTTGTCCACGTTAGAAAGCACAAACCACCTAGGTTACCTGATTGAAGATCATGTTAACCCTGGCCAAGAAGAACTCATTAGTGGACCTGGTGTAAGAAATTGCCAATGTTTTCTGTCACAGAGGATCCAGAAACTTCAGCAGTTGCAGTTTAGAAGACTTTGAGAAGTTAACTCTGAACAAAGGTGGCAGCTGTCTGCTCAATGTTCCCAACCCAGATGAGACCTATAGCATCCCGTATTGTGGCAACAAGTTGGTGGATGCTGGGGAGGAGTGTGATTGTGGTTCACCAAAGGTTAGTAAGCAGGACGATTCACCAATGTTGCTCACATAACTCCATGTTAAATGTAGCCTGCCGGCGTTTGTGCAGGCATGCAGCTATGCTGCTTTATCGCTCACTGACTCACGCTTCCGGCTTCAATTTACAGGAATGTGAAAGCGATCCTTGCTGTGAATCAGGTACTTGTAAACTCCGAGCAGGGGCTGAATGTGCGTATGGCGACTGCTGTAAAAAGTGTCGGGTAAGAGACCCCAGGATGGTGTGGGAAGAATCTCGTGTCTTAAAACATTCTCCGCCCACTCAGATTACAAAGGAGTGCGGGGCTGGATTAGTGGGTCTAGTTCATGTTTCCAGCACAAAAGAGTTACTTCAGCAAAGTCCATGTTCCGTCGGTTACGCCTTTCTTGGATCATTTGCAGAATCTGTATTACTGTTAAGGATGTGAAAATGTGTGTAATTAAGTAACCATTGAAGATTTCAGTGGTTACATGCGGGGTGGCCGTTGGCTCCCCGGGAGCCCGTGTGCGAGGGGAGCAAGCCACGAGTACCTGCTCCTACCTGCCTCCCCATCTTTGCCCGGCTGCCACTGTATCAGAGGCAGCAGTGTGGAATGGCAGGCACACAGAACCTGCATGTAATTGTCAATGTTAACCAGTGAGCCCAGGCTCATCGGTTAACCATGTGCACGATTACACTGTCACTTCCCTACTCTCTGAATGGCTTTTTACATCTTCTCTTGGGTTTTAATTTTTCCTCCCTTCCCAGTTCCTGCCAGGCGGCACTGTGTGCCGGGCAAGTACCAATGAATGTGATCTCGCTGAGTATTGCAACGGGACTTCCCAGTTTTGTCAGCAGGACGTCACTGTTCAGAACGGGCACCCCTGCCAGAATGATGAAGCCTATTGCTACAACGGGGTTTGCCAGTACTATGACTCACAGTGCCAGGCGATCTTCGGCTCAAGTAAGGAACGGTTTGGAGGGCTGCGGCAAAGAGAGCAAAAACAACCAGTTTGTTTAATGAATGTGGATTTTAGGGGGGTTTTTAGTCTGCAAGAAAAGACTAGCCAGAATTGGCAAAGGATTTTAAACTATTTCTGGTATTTATGACACGTCATTGTCTCATAAAATTCATGCTGTGTTAGGGACTCGAGTACTGCTAATTTCCTTGCTATGATGCGTTCATCTGTCAGATTCTATTACAGGGCTCAATCTGTTGATCAAGACTTAATGTCCAGTGAATAGTATTTCTTTCTAAGTGACTGTATTTTGTCTGTGCTGTTAGCTTGGACCCTCTCTAGTGGAACCGTTTTATCCCATTTGTGTATTTTGGTCGAGTTGTGGGACCACAAAGACACGTGCTCGCAGTGCAAGACGTGTCTCTAGCTCTCGGTGTGCTGACCTCGCTCTCCCTCTGTCCTTGCAGGAGCAAAGGCTGCCCCGAACATTTGTTTTGCTGAAGTGAATTCCAAAGGTGACAGGTTTGGCAACTGTGGGTACCATGGCCATGACTACAAAAAGTGTTCCAGCTGGTAAGGCGGGTCTGGCGAGGGAGGGAACGCAAAACGGGTGCCATTCAGAAAGTCGCTAAAAATCCACAGGCAGATGCTTCCACTGTCAAACCTTTATGCATAGCGCAACTTTGCAATAGCCATTGTCTTAGGGCCCCCCGCCCCACGGTCTCCCTTCACTGGTGCCGTGTGTCACTCAGAAACCAACACAGAGGAGCTTAGAAAAGTTCTTTTACAGCCTTAGATTTTGAATCGGGGCTCTTGGAGCTTAGGTTAACAAGTACATAAGCGTACAAAATATTCCAAATTGCTTTATAGCTCGATTGCACTGTTTGTCTTTATCTAGATCGGCATGCCTTTTCAAACAATTCTTGTACAGTTTGATCAATTCATGTATAAAAAGAGGCATCTTGGAAAGGAAGTACATGCATTTTATTGTTCTTTTGCTTTTTACTACGCTCTTGGAGCTTAGGTTAACAAGTACATAAGCGTACAAAATATTCCAAATTGCTTTATAGCTCGATTGCACTGTTTGTCTTTATCTAGATCGGCATGCCTTTTCAAACAATTCTTGTACAGTTTGATCAATTCATGTATAAAAAGAGGCATCTTGGAAAGGAAGTACATGCATTTTATTGTTCTTTTGCTTTTTACTACCCTCAGCATGAGGCATAATGGTGTCAGGTAGACACACTCTCTCACTCCCCCCCCATTGCCCGACCCATTGCCCGAGTGTATTTGAGATTTGGCTTATGATGAGAGAGTTTGCTCTAGTTCTTTGTTATTGATTCATTCTTAGCCTAGAGATAAAGGTGGTGCAGGGGTATATTTGCTTTTGCTTGAGGATCACAAATTTTTGCCAACAACAGGGATGAATCAATGTCCTTGTTATGGTTTTAGAATGATGCTCCATTCACTCTTGTTCTGCTTTTTACGTCAGCATGATGTTAGTATGTAGGAGCGTGTCTCATCTAGTTTTTAATAATCCTCCATTAGGAAATGAAGGCCAGAAAGCCAAATGCAGGTTGATCCTTTCTTTTGTATGAATTGAACACCAGAACCATAACGACCCCTATGTCATACTGTCATAGGAACGCCATGTGTGGGAAGCTACAGTGTGAGAATGTGAAAACCATGCCTGTTTTTGGGATTGAACCGGCAATAATTCAAACCCCCATCAAAGGCACTACATGCTGGGGTGTGGATTTCAAGCTCGGATCAGATGTTCCAGATCCTGGAATGGTGAATGAAGGCACAAAATGTGATGCTGGAAAAGTAAGCAGTAACAAATTAATAACTTTAAAATATTCCTAGGATAAAAGCTAAAAGGGTTGTTAGACTTTGATAGACAGCTCCTTGTTTGCATGCATACACATTCATATTAATGCACGTTAATGTTGGTGCATGCAAGTAATACAAAACTTCACAATCCATGACTTGCCTGTCTCCAAAGATGATAGCTAAAGGCTCAGATACCTCCTCTGTCAGCTCCTGGAGTATTCTAGGATTATTTAGCCCTAACCTACCCCTTAGTGTCCTCCAAGAGCCCAGCAAGCAGCGGCAGTGTTGGTCATGTAGCTAGATGATATTGACCTCCCATTGTCTGGCAAATTCTCTGGTTCGGCACCGGTCAGGTGCCAAGAGTGCCAGACTAGAGAACCTGTACTGCTCTGTATTGAGACCTTGTCGGAAGGACTTTAGAAGAAAATGCCACTTATTTGCATCACGTTTATTATAGCAAACAGAATTAAAGCTTCCAGGATGAGAGGAGAGTGCGCATTCTCTAAGGTCAGGTCTGTGCTATGCCCAGAAGGTCGGCTTAAGGTTCGCAGCTCCAGCTATGTTGTTTATAGCTGGAGGTGATGTATGTTAAGCCAAGCTTGGCACCATCTCCACAGCGGGAGGTCAATGGGAGAAACTCTCCCATCGATTTCCCTTACTCCTCATGACAGCGAGGAGTACCGACACAAATGGGGGAACTCTCAGCATTGGATTTAGCAGGTCTTTACTAGCCCCACTAAATCAAACCCCGGAAGATCGATCCCAGAGTGTCGATCCTCCAGTAAGTGGAGGCGTGGCCTAAGTGGGTGGAGTTTGCTGAGCAGTGCCAATCGAAGCTAGCGTGGGAATAGTGCAGGCAGCGAATTGCCTACTGAGCAAGAGTCCAGGTAAAACAGATGTTGGAGAATGGAAAGGGAGGGAGGGTGGATGTGATCATATTAGTCCAAAACCATCGTATTTGGATTGGGGCTACTCTTGTCTTTTTACTTCCTTAGATCTGTAGGCACTTCCAGTGTGTAAGTGTCTCGGTCCTGAACTATGACTGTGATGTGAAGAAAAAATGCCACGGACACGGGGTAAGTCATGCAGAAACTTGCTGTCTTTCTATTCTGGTCCAGCACGGTCGGAGTGCTCCTTTCTGAAAGTCCTGCAGTGTTTCTTGGGTTCGTCTCATACGGGGCAGTATCGTTTTCGTGGCTTGCTCTTCAGTAAGAAAGCTCAGATTGGTAGATTTTGAAAGGTGTGAACAGATCACAAGATCATCTAGTCTGACTTTTATGGAATATTCATTCACCCCATATTGAGCCAAGCAGTTTCTATTTAATAATTAGTTGTTCTAATGTCACAGAACCTTTCACTGATATCTGCCTAAAGACGTTACTAACAGAAAGCTGTTTAGTACAGATACACTGCTCTTTGTTTGACTGTCCTAGATCAGTGTTTCTCAACCTTTTTTTATAAAGTACCCCTTTAAAAACAAATTATAAGTACCCCTAGTACCTACAGTTTCAGACACACACAATTTTTTTCTACCTTTGCAACACATTTGTTTACAAAACGTATTCGTAGCCGGGCAGCGATGACATTTTTGGGTGTAAAAATAATAAAATGTTGTAAAACGTAAAACAAAAATTCCGTTTTCTCCAAATTTCAGTTGTGTTGGCGTACCCCCCAGGCTTCTCTCAAATACCCCTAAGGGTACTCGTACCGCTGGTTGAGAAACACTTCCCTACAGGAGGGGCTTTGTTATGAAAAGTTGCTTTTGTGTGGTTACCATGAAAGTCACTTTAATGTTCCATCCTTACTGGCTATTAAATTATGTGAGTTGAACAGGTTTTAAAAACTGCTTTTGGACAATGTTTTGTCTGGCTAGGGTAAAACAAGCCTTGTGTGTACAAAAATGGTTTTTTTAAACAATTGTTTCCAGACTGCCTAATGCAGAAATGATTTTGTTTACAACAACATTTATAAAACAGAGCTGTATGGTTATTTATACTTGGCAGGCAAAACAGTGTTTAAACAGGTTTCAAACCGAGTCTGGCCAGCATAATTTGATTACTGTTGTGGAGAGACACTGAAGGAAAATAAGATGCAAAATGTTAACAATGAGGGTAATTAACCATTGGAATAACTTCCGAAGAGGCATGATGGATTATCCAGCCTGTGAAATCTTTTGGAACGATGCTTAGTCTTGGTTTTTAAAAATGCTTGAGCTCACCCACAAGTTAGTGGGCTAGATGGAAGAATTACGGGGTGAAATTCTCTGGCATGTTTTATATACACAGTCAGACTAGGTGATCACACTGGTCCCGTTTGGCTTTAAAAATCTGAGAAAACCTCAGAGACTAATTGTTGCACTTTAGATACTCACTTCCCGAACACAACTGAATCTCGGTATAAAAATGAGTATTACAACAAAATTTTAAAACGTTTTCTAGCAACGCCTGCCCCTCTTGCACTAGCCACGTAACTACATAACCTCGCCACAGGTCGTTGAAGTAGAAGCTGGTGGAAGGGCAGGTCTCCGGTTCAGAATAGGCATGTGAATGCAGAACTGGTCGGAAAGGGTTGGGAAGTAGGGACTTCCTCATGGTCAGAAGGGAAGTTCTGAGCTGGGTCGCTGTCACAGGGGCTAACGTGCGTGAAGGGCAGCGGTTTGGGGATTTTTAGTTCTTTTAAAATTAAACTTTTCTTCTTGTTCATACATTCCACCTGTTTCTGCTTTTTCAGTCCTTCTGTATTTAATTAGACTCAAGGTGGCAGCTTCCCGACTGACCCATGTGTTTAAGGCTACTTAAAGTTGAATATATTTAATCACTGAGCTTTAACAATTACAATCTCCGATTATTCTGCAGCTCTCTTTAACAGTTTGGGGGGTTGGTTTCGTCACTCCCGCTTCCTACGTTTATTTTTTATGACTTCCTGGAGCTGGATTAATAGAAACGTTGGCCTGTCAGCAAATAACGTCCCCGTGCTTTGCAAAAGTATGGGAAACCGATACAATGTGCTTATAACGTGGGCATTTATCTCCAACCTTCCTTTGCTACTGTAGCATTTGCTGCTGAATGACAGTCAAGGGGTATGTCTAGACTACATGGCTCCGTCGACGGAGCCATGTAAATGAGTTTACTAGACATAGGAAAATGAAGCGGTGATTTAAATAATTGCCGCTTCATTCACATCAAAATGGCCGCCGCGCTGTGCTGATCAGCTGTTTGGCGGCACAGCGGGGCAGTCTGGACGCGACGTGGTCGACAAGGGAAGCCTTTGTCAACCGTACCGGTATGCCTCATGAAATGATGTAAGTCGACGGAGCCATGTAGTCTAGACATACCCTTAGTGTGGGAGCATTGCATGACCTACTCCTGCACCAAAGGCAGCTCTCAGTCCGTATGCCTGCTCTGGTTTTTAGATCATGTGGAGCAGGTTGTGGGCAAAGACTCTAGGTGCTCCGCATAGAAATGAAGTCCTAGCTCCTCTCCAAGTGATGGTCCCTGTGTGTAGCGCACATGCACTCTGCAACTGAGAGCAGACTCTTTGCCCCAGCAGTGTGCATGGCTCAGCGCCTCTGCTGTCTCGAGCTCTGAATCAAGGGGGTTAGGGAATGCCCCTGCTCGTGGTCTGGAGCTGAACTCCTCGGAGTTTGCAGCTTCTCCAGGGTTCCTGCACAAATGTTTGCTTCCACCATGTAAATAGATTTTTTCTCTCCGTGAGTTTTAATGTTTAGTAGCTAGCGAGTGTTCTGGAGTCCAGGGTTTTTTTCCCCTTTCCATCTTCATTGTCCCCTTCCCGACCCTAACGTTTGGGGTTCATAGCATGTCTAAGATCCAGGCTTCGTATCCTGGGGGGGGCCTTGTCTCTGAATCTTCCCAATGAGAGATTTCACGAGCTGTGTTGATATGGTTTTGGAGAATTCCCCTAATCCCCATCATTGCCCTCCATTTCCATTTCAAACCTGGCGGTCCCTCAGGGTCTGGCTTCATAGACACCTCAGGGAGCAGCTGATGTGCTCCCAGTCTGGCCATCAGACCCCCATTCTCGCTCTCCGTGCATCAACAGGAGTCACCTAGTATATACCTGCTGGCCAGATGCGGCCCAGCTCTGGACCATCAGCTGCCAAGTCTAGGGATTTCAGAAAGGGATGGGAGGAGGAGAAGAAGTAGGGAAGATCCCTTCCTAAGGCCTCTGATGAGACCACCAGCTGGGTGAGATGCTGCGCCCAGGTTTTGGGTGTGTTAGGAACTCGCAGGGACCATTGTGCTGATCGGTTGGTGCTGCAGGTGGAGTGCTCCTATGCGCAGTGGCAGCGGCAGTAATACGGGGGTGTTCTTCTTTTGGTGTGTGTGATTTAAAGGTGTGCAACAGCAACAAGAACTGTCACTGCGACTCCCATTGGGCCCCTCCCTACTGTGAAACCAAAGGATACGGAGGAAGCGTAGACAGTGGACCCCCGTACAACGGTGAGTGATGACAAGGCCACTTCAGGGCGGCCAGCCGGCCCTTCTCGCTGTTGGTGCCGTTTGGACAGAGTCTGCAAATACAGCGGCTGCTTGTCTGGCTGTCCTGGGAAGTGGACCTGGCGGAAGTGCTGGGGGTTGGAGCTGCGCTGAGTTTTCTTTCCAGCCCCAGCACTTCAGCTCCAGATATTGGAGAACAGACACTTGACTCTTCTTTGACACACTGTCCCTTTTGAAGTGGCCACCAAGAAGTGAAGCTCTGGGTCTGCCCCAGGCAATTGCACTCGACTTTCGCTTTTCTTCTCGACAGAAGGGAGGAAAAGAGTAGAACCCAGTGCTATTGCAATGCCTGGTGATGGGGGTACTATGACAACTCACGCGGGTTTTCTTTCTCCCCACCAGACAAAGACACCTCCTTGAGAGATGGGTTGCTGGTTTTCTTTTTCCTGGTTCTCCCGCTCCTTTTAGTTGCAGTCGTGGCGTTTGCAAAGAGAAACGCACTGGTGCAGTGCTTCAGGAGAACGGTCTCACGCTGCCATCGGTAAGGAGGTTTCCCGCCCCTTCACCTATTGACCACAGCCTCCTCCGCAGAAGCTGGTTCCCAAGAATCAAGTGTCAGCAGTCCTGAGATGTAAAATGGAGATCACACAGTATAAAGGCAGGGGACCTCATGCCATTCCTTTTAGTGTTGTTTGTTTTGTCTTTTTCCTTGGGACGAAGGGACATTACTTACCCATTCCTTGGTAGAGAGGCTCACACTGTATCTGGACATATGCACCTTAAAGAGTGACACGTTTTACTAACAAATTTAGGAAACAAAATAACAATTTTTAACACACACTTAAATCCAGCCGGCAGGTGGGGGACCTCATGCCATTCCTTTTAGTGTTGTTTGTTTTGTCTTTTTCCTTGGGACGAAGGGACATTACTTACCCATTCCTTGGTAGAGAGGCTCACACTGTATCTGGACATATGCACCTTAAAGAGTGACACGTTTTACTAACAAATTTAGGAAACAAAATAACAATTTTTAACACACACTTAAATCCAGCCGGCAGGTG